ATTTATTAAAAGTAATAGGCTTTCTGTTTCTTAAACTACCTACATTTATCAAAGCTTTTATGAACTTTTGAACTTATTCGTCCACTAGTTTTATTGTTGAAATGAAATATAGCAAGACTTGCATTGCCTACTAAGAAAGTTAGTAGCCGGTAGTCATCGGGTTAATTAACATGAAGCTGTCTCTGAACATGACAGAGATATTCTCAGTTCCAAACAAACATAGGAGGTGCTGAAGTTGAACTGTAGGCATAGGTGGGATTTTGGTGTGATATAGGTTAAGCAAGTCCCATATCAAAGGCCATGTACTGTCGAGAACTATCATTTACTTGAGCTTTCAATATGCAGAAACCACTTCACCCTCGTTATGGTCAACTAGGTTTATGCTGGGATAAAGTGGGGAAGGATTACATTAACAGAGATTTATAGTCTTATTAATTTGTGATTTTACGAATTTGACACTTGAAACCAGCCTACTTGGAAACTTCTCGGTAAGCCTTTATGTCCAGTCCGCCCCTGTCTTCTAGTTTTTGAGGGTTTATAAATGTGTAATTTTATCCTTGCAATGGATACATCTTAGGTGGTAACTTGATCAGCTTTGCGGCAAAACAAAATGTCCAGTTCGGTTAATGTTAGCTTCGACATTAGCATTTCTCTACATCACTTTAAAATCTGCATGTATGCTTAAATAAAAAGCGAAAAACGAGATTCTCTCTTTTTTAATAATTTTTCTATATTATGCTATATTTATGAAGCTCCAGACTTAACATCCAAAGGACACGCGCATATCAGAAAAATGTTTATCATTTCGAAAATCTCCAATCATAGATTTAGTCTAGTGTAATATCAATGCCAATAATCTCAATCAAGCCCATGTGGCTTAAATGAGACGTGCTATTTGTATGATAATGAAAGTTAGTTGATTAATTATCTTTGGTGCCGCTTCAAAAAGCATAACGTTACTTTGCCATTCTTTATTTAAAACAACCCCCAAAAACACAATATTTATAAGTAGCATAAATATTAAAAGATTCTTACACGTGCTTAGGCCTATCACATGGTCTAATTAGTATTGTTACGACACCGAAAGTCACGTGACGCTAGTAACACGTCATGGAATTCTAGAAGGATCATGTCTGTTTGTGGCAACGCTAGTCTTCTCTACGCGCCCTCTATTTTTTATATATATATATAAGCCGGCAAATGATGTGACAGCATAATAGATAATTGCAGACTGGCAGAGATAGAGACGGACAATTGAGTCAAGCGCGGTAATTAGTAAAGTGCGTGAATCGTTCGTTGTGAATTCTAGCGTGTGTTTAAGTTAAGGTGACTGTGGAAATTAAGTGTATTGCAAAGTTGTATTGAGAAAGAATAAACTAGTTTTATTTAAGAAAGGACTTGTACCGCTGAAGTTTCTCGGGAAGAATTTCTACTGTAAATTAACAAACGAACAGAGACGTAACAGTATTTAGGCCTATCATAAATGTAAAAATAAGATAAAGTATTTATCTAACAAATTTAGTTTCTGAAATATTATTGTTTTATTTTAACCATTTTCTGCTTACCAGAAATATTTTCATATTTTAATTTCATTTAAATACTTGAAAGTAAATGTTTTATATTTCAGGTCTAATAAAGTTTTGGTTTCTATTTTGTGGTGAAATGGATGATTCCACTGTTGCTGACACAAATATTGATGAAGGATCGATCATTATTTATCTGTAAGTAATTATTTGGATAACCAACATATAAACTACCATTTTCAAAGTTTTATATTTATAGGTTCTTTATTTCTAATTATTCTGATAAGCTGAAACCGGAAGACTGAAACCTAATCTCTCCTAAATCTAGCATCTTATTAAAGAGCTAAATCAATAAACTAATTTAGTATCAACTATCCCATCAAATATGAAGTCGGTTTATTAAAAAAAGATTTGATCAAAATGTTCGTACAATCAATTCATGTCTAGCAGCTAATTTCATTTCTACTACAAGAACCACATATTCTTTTTAATTTTGAGCATTTTAAAAATAATAAGTTGTTTGTATTTACAGAATAATATATTTATAACTGATATGTTTTCATATATGTATATTTCTTAAAATTTTCCTAGATGTACACCTTTCTGTCCTTTCATCTTAATATGAATTAGAAGCTGTTTAGGTTTTCAGTTAGATTCAGCACCCAGGTTGTGTACATGTTTCGCCATGACGAAAGACTGGAGACTGCAGTACTAATTGAGCATGGTATGAGATTTAGTACCCAATAAGAGCAAGCATGTTTCATATTCCAAACTATAGAAATTATGAAACATCTCTCTTTAAAAACTCGTTGCTTTATTTATCAGTACTCGCTACTTCTTCGGAACTTCTTTTGCGCACGTGGTTTTAGTGTGGAACGTCTTATAGTATAAAATATGTATACTTGAATGTGTACATTTTATAAGGAACAACACCCACGTCTTTTTGAGTTACAGGATGTGATTTGTAGTTTAATGTAAATGTTGTGTTTTGATGACCGACTGTTTCTCTTCTACAGAGGAGTTTTTGGAGTGATATTGCTTCTCTTGTGTCTCATTTGTTACTGCTGTCAAAAAAAGCTTCAAGATGACGGTGATTTACAGACCTTAAACGGTGATACACCATATATAACAAATGAGGGAGGAAATAATCACGTATGTAGAGACACTTATATGAAAAAAAATAAAATTTCTAAGTTAAAAACTCATGATATATAACAAAAACAACTTAATTTTTTCTTGTATGATTTTGACAAATAACTTGTATGTACACATAGAATACTCAGTGTCCTTCTCACTGAAAAATTATTTCTACAACATCTCAAGGATAAAGAACCATTAAATTATGTTCTACGTGATTTCTCATAGTGTCTCTATTTCTGACAGAGTTTTATTTTTGTAATTTCAATTCAAGGATAAGAAATCTAAATAATGATATATTGTATAAATTGTTCAACCTTTTAAGTATTGACTAAATTATTTTGAAAAACAAAACATGGAACTAATATTTATTGCACGTTTTTTTTTTCATATAGTTTGTAACCATAGATCGCGAGGTAAATGAAACTACAACACCGTCTCCACCTCCAACTTACGATGCTGTTATTGAGAAAGAAATACCATTTCGGTTTGGTAACCAGAGTCCACCATCATATGACGTAGCGCTGTCACACCAGAACCGCCTAGATGACAGTCTAGGACTAGAGGACTCTTCAGTTTCCATACGACCGGTGTATCAAAGACTATTAACAACATGACCTTTGATACATTTTCTACAATCTTGATGTACCTGTAGAGGAGGATGCTCAAGTGTTAAGTAATATGTGTTTTTGTAAAGTGATATTACTCAGATATGAAATGTGGTCGGATATCGTCTGCATATAATGTTGAGCTCAACACAATTACTTTGTGTTCGAAGCAGCTTCGTATGACATTCCGTTTTATTCAAGCATATTTGGAACGACACATTCCTCAGAATTTGCATTTGATTGAAGTACTCTTGTACTTGATGGAATGTGGAGAAGACTGAGCTTAAGTATGTCTTAGTTCTTCAAGGAGCCAGGGATTAAGATAATATTTGTTTTATCTATCTCCCGAGCACCCCTTTGCTGATCACGCGGCCTGTACATACACATACATGTATTTAGTGAGTATGGCATGCACATGTTGCTTAATCACATCCACAATTTTAAATTAACTGATTGGTCAAAAGTTACATGTCAATAAAGAGCAGTAAACAAGGCCCAAATTACTTTTTGCTTACAGACCCTGTGACGTGCTATGTACATCTCTGTTCCCAGGTCTAATCTATAAGCTGACACTAGGCTAGACCTTATCCTTAAACTTTCATTGGTTAGAACCAAATCTGCCAGTAATGACCCTATTTGTCTCAGGTTCCAATTCTGTGACAGAGGCAAGCAGATTATCACCATAGGTTTTAAGTCTGCAGGGTTTTAAAGATTAATTATTAGTAAAGAAAGTTATAGGTTTGGTCCTTAAGTTGGACTGATTTCAGGTTTGTGACTGTTCGCTTTGTGTAGTTCTAAAGGTATTGAATCGTATTTATACTTATTATTTGTTGTTATTTTAATTTGACTGGTTGAGCATTGTTTCCCTTACGCTCTGTTCCTGGACTATCTGTACTTGTTGTTTTAATTTGACTGTTTGAATCTTGTTTCCCTTACGCTCTGTTCCTGGACTATCTGTACTTGTTGTTTTAATTTGACTGTTTGAATCTTGTTTCCCATACGTTGTGTTCCTGGACTATCTGTACTTGTTGTTTTAATTTGACTGTTTGAATCTTGTTTCCCTTAAGTTCTGTTTCTGGTCTATCTGTTCTTGTTGTTTTAATTTGTATGTTTGAATATTGTTTCCCATACGTTGTATTTCTGGACTATCTGAATTTGTTGTTTTAATTTGACTGTTTGAATCTTGTTTCCCTTACGTTCTGTTCCTGGACTATCTGTACTTGTTGTTTTAATTTGACTGTTTGAATTTTGTTTCCCTTAAGTTCTGTTTCTGCACTATCTGTTCTTGTTGTTTTAATTTGACTGTTTGAATCTTGTTTCCCTTACGTTCTGTTCCTGGACTATCTGTACTTGTTGTTTTAATTTGACTGTTTGAATCTTGTTTCCCATACGTTCTGTTTCTGCACTATCTGTACCGCTCTTTAATACTTAAACCCTCTAGTACAAAGTTTGAAAAGTTATTGGAAATATAATTTTGCTAAATTTCGTGACCAGTTTCTTCATGCCAGCATACAGTTAATCGAGCCAGAATATAATGATGTTCTGTAATACAGATCACGTTTCATTTTGTCATCTTAAAAACAGTATTTACCTCTTCTATGTTTTAATAGTAAACACTTATACTCAATATAATTAAAGTGTAAGATGGAGGAATAACTGAGGTCTAAGTTATTGATGTTTATTAAGTTAGTGTTAACACTTGTTTTTGGATACAAAACGTGAAAGAAATCGTGTTGTATATATATAGCTCTCTGATATGAACGAAGTAGTGTTTTGTTCAATGTTCAGCGCCTTACATAATAGTTTTTGATCTAATCTACACACAATATCAGTATACCTTTAACAATTGAATTATGAAAAATGTGTTTTTATACTTTTTGCATCTAAGAAACTCCTCTACTATCCCCTCCCCCACCTACCATCATCTCCTGAAAATACATAATAAACTAAAAGGAGTGCCATTAATAACAGAGGCGTCGCTAGACACTGGAACACGGGGTTCGTGCCCCGAATCTGCAGTTGGTGTCTTGAAAATTCAGAATAAAAAAACATGATCTATATCTACTGAAACCCCGAAAATTCCCGCGTATATGGGCCCGAGTCCTGAATCTTTTAAGCACCTGTTTATGATTAATAATGAATAATAACTTATGGCTTCAATAAAGTTTTTAAAATTGTGTAAATATCAAACGTTGATCTTAATTATTTATTAAATTTTAACTTACATTACTCTAACCATTTTAATGCTTATTTGTAGCTACTTTTCTGTAATGCTCATAAGAACAAATTCTAACTCATATCATGCAGCCTTGGCTTAACTAAAACATATGACGAAAAACTTTTTAATTGATGTTTATAAATTGATGTTCTGAACATCAGTTTGTATATGTAAAACAAATAAACTAAATTAAGCTCGAACAAAGTGTTGGAAACATACTAAATGTTGTATGATAGTATTATATGAATAAAATAATTTTATGTACTTATGAAGATTTTCCGAGTTTTCCTTATATTTTATATAGCAAAGCCACATCGGGCTATCTGCTGTGTCCACCAAGAGGAACCGAACTCCTGATTTTAGCGTTGTAAATCCGTGTACTTACCTCTGTCTTATCAGGAGCCCCAGTGGCACAGTGGCATGTCTGCGGATTTACAACGCTAGAAACCGGATTTCGATACTCGTGTTGGACAGAGAACAGATAGCTCATTGTTAAAGAGAAATGTTTTTGAGTGATTATCTTGTTTGTAGATCATTTATTTCTAATCGGCCTAGTATTATTGATTTGTATTACTTTCATCTCTCTGTTGAAATTAGAGGTTTACATCACCGTTGTTACGTATTAGAATTTCAAATAGCCTGAAAGTGAGTTGACTGATAAATTGAAATTTAGTAGTTAAAGTGTACTTTGGATTAAGTATTTAAATATATGCGATATATAGTCAGTTTATGATATTCGCCAACAAGATTGATACACACCATCTTCGTTTTTAATAGAAATACGTTTTAATATATACACAACTATGTCTTAATATATACACAACTATACAATTCACAATAACAGTTATTACAAATCGTTATTACAAACAATGATTTATAAACAAAAGTTTCACAAAC